GTCGATTTTATTGTCTATTTAAAGTTTATTTATTTTACACCTTTTGAGTGGTCGAGGATATTACGTTTAAGGTAACAACTAGAATGTCGTTATATAGGTTCAATATAATATTAATCCTACATATTTCCACTCTTCTAGAGGGATTTTTTTGTTTTAATATATGTAGGACCACCCCTGAAGTATTTATAATATATTTAATAAGAAAATAATTAGTTTTATCGGTTTGCCGTTTCCGAGAAAATAAAAACATACGGGTGAAATATAGAACCTGCTCGCTTTTTGAACTCGGTTAAAAAGGATATCAGTAGTTAAGACATATTGGTGTTGACATTCGTAAGGAAAAGTGAAAAAAAAAACAAAAAAAAACGACAACAATCTTTCTTGCCGGATATTCCCTACAGAGATTTTGAAACCGGTAGTAGTCCTTGACGTTTCAGACCAATAAGGAATGAAAGACGGAGCGCTGCGTACATTTCTCAAATGACGTAAAAATCAATCCGAAACCATGCTTAAGTTATTGTAAGAACACGCACTCACGTACATCAAAAAGAATTTGCTACCAACAACATACTTTTAGGTGCATTTGTGTGCGTCCAGCAGTGAACTCTTTTAGCCTGATAAAGAAAGAAAATGTGCCCGTGAGTGCGTGACAAGAAATTGTGCATGGTTTCGGCATCGCTTGAAATGAACGTAGCCCTCCGTCTTTCTTTGTTAGTGTGAGCATAAATTACAAAAATAATATTTTTATTGTTTATTTTATTTTATTTTTATTGGTTAGAAGACAGACAGCCACTTACCATCAGGTAGAATGTAAGTTTGTATGTGACTTAAAAAACAAAAACAATTGTATGCAATTAAAATTTATTTAAAAAAAAAAACAAATAATTTCAAAATGTTTTACGACCGTATGAAAGTACTTAAGTTTAACCAAAAGTTAGTGCATATTGAGTAAAATGAGTAGGAAGTAATTTGCGAAAGGTCCCGAACTGGTTAAACCTCGGCAGCTCCATAAACGTCAAGCCGCACGTTAATCATATACCGAACTTTACCACATTCGCTACTCCCATTTTGGAGTCAGTAACTTGAACTAGAGTTCAAGGCTGCCAACTACCTAATTACGTATACGAATAGTACTTATTTAACTCTCAGTGTTATTTATACAGTTTAAACGCTGGTAAATTATAATTATGAAATACATTTTTTTAACTGGGACACATTTCATAATTAGAATATGCCAGCACTAAAATTAAGTTGTTTAACTGTCTTATTACAAAAAAGCTTAAATTTAGTCTCAGTTTTAAACTCGAGTCTGTTTTAATACAGAAATCCCTGGAAAATGTGTGAAGTAAATTTTATAGTATTGAATTTTGCAGCAAATGTAAAAAATTTGTGAAGACTGACGACGCTGCTAGGGGATATATTTCGTGACAAATGCTCTTCTTTGAACCCGAGAGTATGAATAAACTTCTTACGGCCATACCTAATCAATGCTCACATTCGTTAACCGTGTAGTGGCGGTGTAAGAATATGTGGATATTCTACGTACCCCTCTTTTACGACAGTTTTACGACATCCCTCGTAATGATATGGGGTAGTGGCACCCCATATCGTTACGAGGGGTGTCGTAAAACTCGACAGAGGTAAACTGAAACAGGAGATAGGCAGCAGCATCTTACTGATAATTACTCAAAATTATAAAAAAGCTGCGGTTTTTTTATAGGATATGGTGACAAACGAGCACACAGTCCACCTGATGGTAAGTGGTTGCTGTGGCCCATAGACATCTACATCTATACTCAATAAAGAATCTAAATGTAGATGCGTTGTCACCCGTGAGAACTAAGATGGAATGCCTCTTCTCCAAGGGTCTCCGGTTCTCTACACTCACCATACGAAACACATTGTATAGTTGAAGCACGAATGGGTCGGCTCGACCGGGGAAGGACCACGCTCTTACAGATTACCAGCGAAAAATAGCAGCTTAACGCTGTTGTGTTTCGTTTGGTTAGTGTAGAGAACCGGAGACCCTTTTTACTGGAAAAGAGGTATTCCATCTTAGTCGTCACGGCTGACAACGCATCTTCATTTCATTCGAAACGAGAATAGATGTAAATGTCAAGCATTGTGGATCTTTAGCATGATGTTACTTGAAAAATAAAGTGCATTATTGGTACTAGTACAATAGTGAAGAATGAATTATATTGTTATATAGTGCTAGTCTGCAATTGATTTATTTATCAAATGTAAGCATGGATTAGGTATTTTTATTCTTCAGATATGCAAGTTCACGTTTTCCTTCATCGGCGAGCACGTGGCCAAGTACAATAAGCGTTCAAAATGGTAAATAACAATTTTTTTTGGCGGTAGAGTCACGCTGCAGCTATAATATGGCTGTATCACGAATGACTCGGCTCGACCGAAGCTCTCACAGAATGCCAGCGTGAAATAGCAGCTTAATTCTGCTGTGTTTCCTATGGTGAGTGTAGAGAACCGGTGCCCTTTTTTTACTTGAAACGAGGCATTCCATCTTAGTCCTCAGTGGTGACAACGCATCTGATTTTTTTATTCTTAATCAAGGATAGATGTATATGTCTATGAACTACAGCATCCACTCACCATCAGGTAGGCTGTGCGCTCGTTTGTCACCTTTGTTCTAATAAAAAAAAATACCGGCAGTTGCTCACGTATTGTGATATTAATAGCGAGCGCTTAGTCTGTGAACTATCATATCTACTTTGTAAATACAAACGTAATTCATTATGATAAGTACGTAATTCCAACCAATAATGTTTCCGCGTCGGCCAGCTGTAATCGTTTCTGACAAGGACTCTGAAACTCTTTCGAATGGCATTACCTGATACGTAATAAAATCAATTTCCTTGTTTAACTTTAGAAGTGGTTATAAGTTATACGTTCTAGGTAAATGGGGCTCATTTTCTGTTTAGAAATCCTGGATAGATTTTTTTAGACAGAAGGTTAAGGAGCATACGGCTCACTTAATAGTTAGTGATCACTCATGAGCAAATGCAACACTAGAGAAATTGCAGCTGCGTTGCCGGCCTTTTAAAAAGGAGTAGGCTCTTTTTATAAAGTCCCCTACGTCGTATCCTTCTTTGTAATATTCCTTGTACGAGATGTTGTAGTGGACTGCCAACCATTTGGACTACAGCGGAATGAAACAGTTGGCAAAAATCTGAACAATTGCTATAAACACTCCCCATGGTATTTTACGATTGAAAATATATAGAGAGGTCACGTCTATTCGCAAAGCCAATGGATAAAGCTGATGGAAAAGAAGTTGGCAGTTGACTTTTGACCCGCTCTCCGCCCAGAGATGAAAATAAGTATTCCGTATGAGGCCTGAACTTGTTAAAAAGCCACCTTTGTGTTCCGGTTTAAATAATAAGAAATAAAATAAAGCAAAATAAAATTGCAGCCTTTATACGTCCCACTGCTGAGCCATATCTCATTTCTGGTAGGGTTTTAGGGCAAGGAATCTCCGCCGCGCTGCCCCATTACGTTCTGACGTACTTCACATGTCTTCAAAATATATTTATTTATTTTTTAATCATGCAGTTTTCCTCAAAATGTTTTCAAAATTGCAATTAACATATATACAACTTACATAAAATACATACGATCACGCCTCTCTCCCAGATCTCCCAGGTAAAGATTATTAACTACCATTCGGCACAATCCTGACATACCTCTCTCGCTTCTTACAAATTCATAAATTTACGGATACATGCTCCTCGGTTAAGGGTAATCTTAATTTGGCCTGTCTAATAAATATCGTCAATTTGGTCGATAAGCGTCCGTGTAGAGTGTTCCGCGCCAACTCTGCATCTCATTATTTGTTTCTGTTTAACTCTTAATCAAGCTTTTATAATATCGTTAGTTAAAGTTCAATGAACAATTTAAATAAGTACGTCAAGCACTAGTTGGTTCTAAACAAATAATCACGTGGTCAGATTAAACCTTGATTGAGCATACTAATGCGTAGTTTTGGCTAAGAAAATGAACCTTAGGACATACAAATTTTGTAATAGGTTTATAATTCATAAAAAACGAAGTAAAACAAATCCTTTTAAGCTCACGCAATATACCAATCCATTTGTGTAATACTAATTTATTAGCGCACTTCTTTAATAAATATTGACTTGAAATATATTTGCATCACAACAAACCTAAATTTATTTTATAGGAGTACCTACTAATATACCAAACAGGAGTTTTTAAATTATATCATAAATAGATGGGTGTCTAAGCGTTTTTAAAGCAATTAATAATTAAACTGTATTTCAATTACACATTTTAAGAATCGTCTTCGTTAACAATCAAAGATAAACTTTTGCAAAAAAATTATGTAGCTATGAAATAGTTTTGTTATCATTTTTCATAACCATTTTTAACAGTTGAAGCTCAATTAGGATAAGTAAACTAGTTTATTGCGTCACACCGAAATAGTATATAATTTAGGAAAATCAAAGTATTCAAATTATCCCATAAGGAAGACTTTGATTTCCATATATTTATAAATAAACTTTCCAAAGGGCACTAATAAAACTTGAATATCAATTTTAGTAAATTAAAGTGGGAAAAACTATATTAAAACACTATTTACCCACGTGTCTGAAAGAAAATATGTATCATATTTTCCGCGACATTTTACGTACTTAAAAAGAGTTATCACTAATTATTAATGATGCCTTTAAAAACATAGCACTAATTATTCATAAATTATTCGACTATTATGTTATTTGTCAAAAAAAGAAAAAAAAAACAGTTTCGAATTTGGATCGCGCGACGCGTCTGACTCCTAACTGCCGATCGTACGAATACGAAGGACTTACGCACACCGAGTGAAAACCTGACGCGTATCCAGCTTCTAGAGGGGCGATGGCGAAAGTGCTTCCAAATAACCACCTATAAAAACTCAACACACAGTTTGTACGGCATCCAGTTCGAATCCCAACACCAGCCACCGTTCAAGAGGCAAAATGAGAACGACGGTGAGTGTTATCCACAAATTACAAGTGTTAAAGTGTTCCTAAGTGAAGTGCAGTGACGACTTCAAAAAAGTGTGAAACGTAATCGTCAAGTGTGTCCCGTGCCTATAGAAGTGTTTTCAAATCGTGAAGTAGCCTTAATTTAAAAGTGACACACTTTTTTGAAGTCTTCCTGCGGTTGATGGCGGGAACGCCAACGTTTGTTTATTTAATTTCTTAAAAAAATTGGATTCAGGAATCCAATTTTCAAATTAAAATTCTCAGTATAACATTAATACTATGTTATCAATAAAAAAAAAACTGAACTAAAAAATATTCATAGAAAATGATATCAGATATTTTATTAAAAAGCGATCGCAAAACAAAATTCAGATCATAATATTTTTTTAAATCCTGGCAGGCAAAAGGCACAGTCACTGGAATATTTTAAAGATGTTTATTTTCGAATAAACTCACTTCCTTGTTTGTATAAGCGAAAAAAATACGGAGATCAATTATCAATCTTGTAGTTGAGCTTAATTAATGATTAACTTAATGATTGAAAGCCTTCTGGCTTAAAATATTTTCCTGGTTACACTTTCCTGGAAAGGCTTAATGTCCATCGTCGGATTTTTAAAAGGCCTACGATGTATAACAGAATTTTCTAGAATTTCTAATGCCCACTGCTTATTACTAATAGTATGCAATGTCTGTATGGAACAATTGACAGCGTTCTTTTTGGTAGTTTATTTGAGTTGCAGTTCAGAGTTGCTGATTTAAAAAAATATAATGTTAACGGACGCCATAGAGTTCACGCCATTCATAAAATTACGGTACTTAATTTTCAAGATTGCCTTACGACAGCGGACCCGTTTTTTATAAAACGTACCCGTACATAAGAAGTGGCTGACATTCTAAATCCAGTTGTCACAATTTGGTAGTTGAAACCACCAAAGATAACAACATGATAATATAATATAAAAGCTACTTTTAGTAGTTTCTCAAAACTTGGTCAATTATGTATTTAAAGTTAAATTTAGTTTTTATTAAAAGATTATATTTTGTCTATAAAAACTATCACATCATCATAATAATTACTTTCTCATACAATTTCTATAGAAATATTTACTTTGACAATACTTAACGTATTTCAATTGACACGAGTGTCTAATACCCAATTATACATTAATGGGGTGTTAATTAAGCGGCAATTACTTATGTCTTTACAATACCCGAGACTTTAACTTACGTTACAAAGATATTTCAAATGAACATAAAATATCACTTCCTAATTTTGACAAAAATACAAATTAGTTTAAAGAAAACATAATTTATATAAAAGAATATTTTACTAAGATACTACGTACTTAGTAATATCTTGTAGTATCTTACGTCACAATGGGTATATTCTCTTCCGATATCAACACACAAGTTTCTAGATTAGGAAAAGAACTCGGGTAACCTGAGTGCCTGAGCAATTCTTAGCCTAAACTCCCGTTTGTTGCGTAATTTTTGAATACATTGAAGGAAATAGACCGTCTCTAACAGACTTACGACTTACGTAAAAGAAAACCCGATTTACCTGACAAGGATACAATTTACGATCCTAATGTGCAATTATAACATCGCGTAGGCGATTAACAAGTTGTTTTATACTCTTTGATCATAGCTTTTGAACCGCAGTAAAGTAACGCTTAAAAAAATCGCACTAATAACTTACTTTATTGATTTTGAAATGTTTCCATTACATTGCTATAAAAGTGACATCGAAAAGAATAAGTAATTTGAACAAATTTAAAATTAACTACATGATGATAATCATCAACATCATCATCATTACAGCCTGTCAAACGTCTACTACTGAACAAAGGCCTTCTCTATAGAATGCCTCATAAAGGGAATTTTGCTAGTTTCCACGCCTTATTACGTTTATTTTCGGTTATTATGAGGAAGATACTGCTACCTATCTCCATGAGTATTTTTTTTGCGTTTGGTCGGGCGCGGGTTCGAATTCTGTACGAAGCAAGTGTTTGTATGGCCGGGTGTATGTGTGTGAAATTTATTTATGTAAATCACTTCCACAATGTAGGAGAAAATCCTATTGTAGGGGTACTTTTTAACACAAAAAATATTTTTTGTACAATTAAGGCTCTATGACACTTCTAGTCTGTGCAAACATAAATCGTCCTAATGAAACACTATAACCACTCGTGCGAAAATTGAATTGCGAAAACTGTGTATCAACGTCCTGTTTAAGCTTGTTTACCTTAAAGGGTCCAGTTATTAAAGTAAGCAATCATATATCCGGTCCAGAATTAATAAGTTTAGACAATCATTAATAACGAAGGCCGCCATTTTATATAGCTTTTACAGAATAGAATATATTAATAGAAAAGAATAATATTTATTCAATTTATATTACAAAAATATATGTAAGTCATATATGCTTTTATTACTGGTACGGGAAAACCTCTATACTGGGAAGAACCATGAAGAAAACCAGCGGGATAATTTTTTTAAAATATTTAAATTTTTGCAATTATTTTCTACAATTTTCTATATGTATTATAATTGAACATGCTGGTTCTGGTAGCGATCACCTCATTACCAGAAATCATTTTCATTCATGTATTCCTCAATATTATAATAATAATTGTTGTACAGTTTTTAATGATTATAAATAGTGATATATTCAGACAGCTAGAAATGAAATCGGACAATGTTCCAAATTTCTAACAAAACGATCAAACTGGGGTGCAATTATGTAAGTAGAGACCCACTTTAAATATTGCGTAAGTCACTAAGAAGTAACATTATCCCTAGAGGGCCGATCGTTGGTAGGTACCGTTCACAAACGCGTTCGGGTTCCCACCGATTAACATCGTTTACGACCGAACAATGGCGAATTGTGTTTTTATTCCGTGAACCGAGTTTTGTTTGACTTTGGCTTACGAAATATTTGCATTTTAATTTTTAATTTAATTTCTAGAATTTTATTGTTACAGCTAAATTGAATAATATTAATTACTATTAATAGATACAAATAACTTATTTTCAATAAGATTGTTTTAAATAAAAGAAGTTAAATTAATAAAAGGTACAAATTACGCGGTTACCATAAACAATACAACTAAACCTATTGCCATATGCGACAATTTCTCATAATCGATCTCATCTCATCTCATCTCATCGTGAATGCACACACTGCATACTTACGTCGGTCACACACGTTTTCACTCTCAATATCGATACGTCTCAATGATGACTCACGGAACTGTTATTTAACCTATTACGTATCGTTATGCGTTTGCAGTTACATATAATTGAGTTACATTTTTTACGAAATGTAACTTTTTACTGTAGTTAGCAAACTGGTATACGATTTATCTGTTTGCGTTGGTTATCTATATCTAAATCATATAATAAATCTAAATGTAGAAAATTTATATTTTGTACGTTACAATTTTTTTATGATTTAAAGCTATAAATAAAGTTAGATCCTTAATTAATGCTTTCTTATATTTACGCGAATATTAGACATGATATAAAACTAATTTTACGTATTTTATCGCATTTAACTTCACCCTTGGAAATCTTGCTGTAAAATGCCCGAAACATTAAGAATTAAAAAAAGTTAAAATTTAACGCGACAAAATCCGTAAAATTAGTTATTTTCCATAGATCCTTAATTATTAGTTAATTAGAACCATTTTTTTATATTACGCGTGAATGCTTCAAAATAATACGACCATATTTATAAGTGTCTTTTAATACCAATAAATCAGCAAGTGTACACATGTAAATTAATTTGCATCTTGAGTGATTAGGTCTCTCTGAAGACAATAACATCTATTGGAATAACATTTTCCAAACACAGTAGGTTGTTTAAAACATTGATAAGAGCAAATCGCTTGACAGTCTTCATCAGATATGCAGGGTAGACGTGGGGTTTCTTCTAAAAAGAATATAAAATTTTCGATTTATTGACTTATTCGAATAGGTACAACCGTTACGGCTTGTTTAAGTCCTCTGATGAACGTAGGCCTCCCTATTGTTTGCCTCATAAGGGCGGTTTTTGCTATAATTGCTACGCTTGGCAAGCGGCTTGGCAACCGTATTCTTTACTTTTAGTCGATATTAGGAAGACGCTGCTGCCCATCTCCTGATTTGTTTTCCTCTGTCGCCTATTACGACACCCACAGGATGATATGGGATAGTGGATATTCTTACACCGCCGCTACACGATTCAAATTAAAAATACAAATAAGAAATATATTAGGATGTCAGGTGATTCATAAAATTAATGACGATGATTCAATTTGTGAATTACGTTTACAGGATGAAGCAAACCTTGCCAGAATTAGCTATTTGTAATATACTTTACTAGAACTTAAATTTTATAAAATCAGAAGAAAATAATCAGCGGAAGATGATTTCTAAAAATTTACGCGAGAACTACACTTTGAAGAAAAAATGCTTATACTCATTTTATTCCCATTGTTTTGAATGGATGTTGCAAAACACTTGAAACGTCAGAAGTTTAAAACAAATAAAATTAAGTGAATAAATCCGTAAAAGTATTTAAAAAAAATTAAATAAATTATATTATAACATTTTGAAACTTACGTTGAATACTAAATCCCCAACAATATACCACAAGAAGTACAATTATAAAATATATTACAGGTCTCATGATTCTAAACATCGTATGCGAAAACCATAGTTGGGGAATTTTATATAAACCTTTTATAATACGTGTGGAGAATCGATATTAAAACAAATTATTTTCGTTCTGGTTATTTACGTTAAGTAGCGTCGAACTTACGTGTATTAAAAATGTTTACAGTTCATCCGATATTTACGCGAAGACTACACATTAAATGGAGATTTTAATTAAAATCCACTCCACTGCAGTAAAGCTCAAATGTTAGATAACTTTTAAACTTTAGTGGAGGCGCACCTCGACTACCCCATGTCATCCAGCAAATTTCGTTAGTGACGACAGAAGCCCTGATAATAATTCAATAATACTTATAAAAAACTGCGCTTGCCAACCCGCCTGGCAACTGTGGCATCTAAGGCAAATATGAGGCAATCTATGGGGGAGACTTTGATGGAATCACCTGTGGACTTTAGTGGGTTGGAATAAATAAACAAATTATTTGTTATGGCAGAGTAAAACTTCTTTCCAATTTAAGAGTTGACAGTCAATCAATACTTAAATGCTTCACAACATTTTTTTTAATGTTATATAGTTATTTGCATCTGTACAGACATACAAATGTATTTTAATCACAGTATAATTTCATATAGATTTATGGTTAAACGGAAAATCAATTTCTGTAATACATTGATAAGTACAACCATGGATTTCCACGCTTCTCTAGTGTTATTCATGTCACAACACAATAATGTATACCATACCTTTACACATTATTTTGTTGAAATCTCGTGAATTTTATTTTGTTTCTCACGTTTTAAGTATTTAATATTCTATTCTACTGAATATTTAAATACTGTTTGCTAAATCGTGCATCTGAAACAAACCTCTAGAAACTTACACTATTTTTGACCCAGAAACAGATGCATATTTTAACCTCAAAGTCATCGGAGAGGTTATTTTCATAAATAAGGCCAATAAAAATAATTAATACGGTCTCACATCTATAAAAATACCGGTCATTATACTGATATTAGCGAGTTTATTCTTTTTTAAGTGGTACGTTACAAAATCCGATTGCGATACACTTGGACCTCGATAAATTTTAAATTTGGTCACATTTGTGTGTTTTTACTAAAATCCTTGACTCAAGGCGCCACTTTATTAATGATTTATATCTCAAAAGGTAATGTGAACATTTCTGTAGATAAGAAAGATTTTATAAACATGTAAATTAAACTAACCAGCATTTTTTTTAGCTGTAAAAACTGAGTATATTCTTAACAAAATCCAGCGATTTAGTGAATTCTTCGTATATTTTATTTTTACGGAATAAAGGTAACAAACGAGCACACTCGTACATCTATCATCGATCAAGGATCAACATGCAGATGCGTTGTCACTCCTGAGGACTAAGATGGAATGCCTCGTTTCCAGTAAAAGGGATCTTTAGTTCTCTACACTCACCATACAAAACACAGCAACATTAAGCTGCTATTTTACTGGTATTCTGTGAGAGCGTGGTCCTTCCCGGTCGAGCCGACCCATCCGTGGTACAACTATAATATAGCTTTATTTAATTTTTGTAAATCCGAAACAATAATTATTTGCAAACAAAAGTGAAAATAAGCTGATATCGCGCATCCTTTTCATTTTTATTGATTCACTGTCAACATTAAATTTTAGTTGGCAAGCACAACTTGGAAGATTTGCTATTATATATATTGACAATGTTCTGTTCCCCATTTCATTAAGATAAATATTCCATATTTTATATTTTAAAACGAAACATTAAGAAATACTTGATGTTTGTATTTCAAATAAGTCTTTAATATATATGATCAAGAGAATTCGACTAAACAACGTGGCGTAATGACTAATTAACATACTTTAGTGACCCAAAATGTGTCATGGTTGCCGAAAAGGGCATTAACTAGACTAGTGTAGTCTATTAGAATATCATGTTAGAAGTCCTAATTATAAAACTACTCGGGATTCATTTTAAATTTTCGGGATTAAATTTTTGCTTTTATAATCGTACTTTATGTTTCGCTATTTCTCTAGAGGCCATTCTAGAATGCTCTTAATTAACATAGCCCTTAGCGCGTAGACAATTTCGAGATCAAAGCGGATCTTGCACAAACGCGTAATTGCGTTGTATATTCACCGATATGTAACCCCACAGAGAATCAATACGGTTATTATCTAACCATTCTATTGACATCGTTACGCTGTTTGGTTTACCTCAGGTTGCTTGCATTACAAAAATTGTGGGTAAAGCATTAGGTAGCGTGACGAAGGTTTAATTAGGAATGTAGGTGACGTTACACAATAATTTGTGTTTTAATGCGCTTTAATAAGCTTGACCTGCGTGATGTGTGTATGTGCCAACCGTGTAGTGGCAGTGTAAGAATATCCACTACCCCATATCATCCCGTGGGTGTCGAAAGAGGCGACAGGGGGAAACAAACCCGGAGATGAGCAGCCGCGCCTTCCTAATAAAAACTCGGTTCTTTATACGTTTGAAAAATTTGCAAAACTATCCAGATGTCTGGCAACGAATGATAACTGAAAATTCAATTACATTAATATACAGCCTATAAAAGTACTGCTGAACATAGGCCTCCACTTACATTGTCTCATAAGGGAGATATTTGCCATAAGTTGCTACGCTAAGCAGGTGGGTTGACAGCCGTCGTTTTTTTTTTATTTTCTAGTTGTTGTTAAAAATACAAATAAATATTTCATAATATGAACTTATTTCTTATTTATCTTAATATCGTTTTGTTTTTTGTAAACTGGCTTTACTGCTCTGGGTTCTAGCCCTTCTGAGCCTGTACCGTTTTGTAATATAGGATTCTGACAGATATTGACTTTATTTTTAAAAATAAAGACTTTTTTAATTATTTTAAGACTTTATGTAATAATTTTTCGTAGTTATTATTTCGCACAAAAAGTCTTCGAACGTGTGTATCATAAATTTTGCAATGATTTATCAAAACCTTGTGTATTTTAATAGATAACAGTTAACTTATCTAATTCAATTCATTTAATAAACTGTTTAATAAAATAAAAGTGTCTAAATATATATGTCACCGCAGGCCTACTTCAAACTAGAATTTCATTATTGTATATTATTTCGACTAACATGACCAATCTTTGTTTCAGATCTGCCTTGTTTTCCTGCTGGTAGCAACGGCTGCTGCCAGTGAGAAGAAGACGACAGAAAGTAAGGCAGAGCCCTTGGAGAAGAAGTTGGACAAACGTGGCCTCCTGAACCTCGGTTACGGATATGGAATCAGCGGCCTCGATATCGGCTACATCGGCAACGGACACGGAATCGGCGGCGCTTACAACGTCATCGAAGACTCCGGCTTCGCTAACGGCGGATACGGCGGATACGGCTCATACAACTTGGGAGCTCACACTGACACCACCAGAACAATTACGCTAGTAAAAGGAGTTCCAGTTGCCGTGCCAGTCGACAGGCCCGTGCCGTACCCAGTTGAGAAGCACATTCCATACCCCGTTAAGGTCCCAGTACCGCAACCTTATGAGGTCGTCAAACACGTGCCAGTTCACGTGAAGGAGTACGTTAAAGTCCCAGTCCACGTGCCAGCCCCTTACCCAGTTGAAAAGAAGGTGCCTTACCCCGTTCATGTTCCAGTAGACAGGCCTTACCCCGTTAAGGTTCTGGTTCCCCAGCCCTACCCCGTTGAAAAGCACGTGCCTTACCCCGTGAAGGTGCCAGTGCCACAACCTTACCCCGTGGAGAAACACGTGCCATACCCAGTTGAAGTTAAAGTGCCCTACCCTCAGCCTTACCCAGTTGTGAAACATGTCGGTTACCCCGTCAAGGTTCCCGTCGACAGGCCTTACCCCGTCCATGTGCCTCAACCTTACCCCGTTGAGAAACGTGTGCCTGTTGCAGTCCCAGTTGAGAAGCCAGTCCCTTACCCAGTCCACGTACCCGTAGACAGGCCATACCCCGTCCATGTTGAGAAGCCCTACCCAGTGCCCGTTAAGGTGCCCGTGCCAGAGCCGTACCCAGTTTACAAACACGTGCCCGTTGAAGTCGAAAGGCCCGTGGCTTACCCCGTAAAAGTGCCCGTAGACAGGCCCTACCCCGTACACATTGAAAAACCCGTACCAGTCCCCGTTGAGAAACCAGTGCCAGTACCAGTAAAAGTTCCCGTTTACATCAATGACCATGGCTTCAGCCAAGGAGGCTCTGACTATTATAGCTATGGGGGCCACTACAGCCACTAGGGTATTATAGAGTTAATTTCACATAGTTCACCTAAAAAGTAATCACCCGCCCTATTTATATCTCGCCAAGTCACCACTGGCCGGGACACCAGCAAGCATCGTTCTCTTGTATATTTATAATACCATTTGTATGAAATCTCATGATTCTTTTTGTGTATAGGCGTATGTAGAAGTAGGTACGTTGTGATGTAAAAGTTACCATTTCCTTAGGTTAAGACGACTGTAAAATATAAATAAATAAAAAAATTGTAAAAAAGTATCGCCTTTTCTTTATTGACTAAGTTAAAAATAATCATTGACCTTCACGCTGCTCGTAGAGATAGTTAAGTAGTACAATCAAACACTTTGATCTGCACGACTGGCAACCACCGTTGTTAACGTAATAGTGTGAATACAGTTAGTAGGGACGTAAGCAAAATTTATAAATATTTTTTATTTATTAGCCTGATGGTTATGGGTGAAGATTGCAAGCTCGGAAAGTCGTCGCTTTGATTCCGTCATTCAACTACTGTCGTAAATCACTTTTAACAAGCATTTTAATTGGAGTACGTTAACGAGAGTATTTGGTAATGGTAATGACGTTACTAGTATTCTTTTTAAATTAATTTGCAAATATTCTGTTGAAATAGACAACATTTTAATACTTTTATATCTTTATTAAAATGTTTTGGTAAATATAGATGCTATAGTAATACCTATAATTCTACTATTAAATGCGAAAGTTGCGAACATCATTCCCAACAATAATGTAAGTTATGTAATGCAGTGTATTCTATTAGAGCCTATAAAAGTCCACTGCTGAACAAAGTCCTCTTCCATAGAGTGCATCACAAGGGGATTTTACCATAGATGCCACGCTTGGCAGGTGTGTTGGCAATATCAGTTTTTTATAATTTTGAGTTGGAATCAAGGAAGATGGTGGTGCCCATCTCCTGTTTCAAGTTCCCTCTGTCACTGCTTACAACATCCACAGGACGATATGGGGTAGTGGATAGTCTTATACCTTGTGCTTCATGGTAGTGTTTGAATAATTAAAAGTAGTCTGTAATATTCTGTAGAAGGTTACCACACATCGTACAGATATTTTCTACATCCTTTTTACCTTGAATCGTTTCCCGATCGAATTAATTGTGAAGTACAATATTGTCTCGTAAATGACCACGTAATATCAACTAAAGTTGTGACTTTAAAGATCGGGTTACACCACAAAATCAATTTTTAGTCGTATTTAGACCACAAGTTACGAAGCTTTCCATCTTACGTACTGGTGTCATAGTTAACCCTTTATATTCGAAAGCTGAAGCTTAACTGTTGTTTTAGAATATTCAACAACTGGGGGTAGTCTGAGTTAACTGTCACGTCAGAAAGTCAAACATTTCAGTCTCCCCGTGACCAGTGCTGTAAAGCACCCAAAAAACTGACTTAAAAAAAAAAGTCAAATCAAACCTGTAAGTTTAAGTTAATGTATTGTATTCGTATAAATATAAGAAATCATTAAGATGACTTGTGAAAAAAAATATACATGCTCTTTACAAGTAATGATTTAGACATTCGAAAACACGATTAATAATATTTAAGCTCAAGTTCTTAGTCGCTTTGGTTTACTTGGGGATTTATTACGTGAATTGAACTTATTATAAGTAGTTAGACTCTTTGAAGGTTAAGCTTTCTTATATAATCTAGTTCACTGTTATACGTTTACGAATATCTGTACAAAGCAGGAGATATAATGTGTTATAATAATTTGGGCACATCCTAAATTTTTCGTAGGGATCTGTTATTGAATCCTTTGCTTTGCTAAACTTCAATTGCAATTTTAAGTGCAGAATTATCATTTTGAAAAAAGTCAATACATTTTACTGTTTTTTTTAAGATGTACCCCCTCTCTCCCAACATGAGCGATTTCCATGCTTCGTAAGGGCATTTAATATGCCTGTATTTGCGGTAACCTCCAGACCCGGAACCAATACCTTCTAGGCCATACTATTAATAGAAGCGTCAGTAGCCTAATGGCTTGCGCGGACCGTGAACTCGAAAGGTCGTGGATTTGAATCCGCCATTCGACTACTGTCGTGAACCACTTCTAATACAAGCATTTTAAGCTTACCAGAAGTGGTTAAAGGGAATATTAGTAATGTTTAATAGCATCACTAGTATTTTTATTATAAAAATAATAATAAAAAAAATTAAATTAATTAATGGTGCAGTGTACGATTTGAGCTCACTGTCTACATTACCGCAGCCAAATACTGACAAATTACAAAAACTAATTAATTATTGATACTTACATGACTTCTGTAATAATTTATCCTTACATTTATCTTCGATATAGGATGTTGTAATATAGAATCTCAGAAAAGCTTTGAAGCCTAAAACTATTTTTATAAATAGTAACTGTTAGCGTTACGACCTATCAAAGTCGTCCGGTGAACATAGACTTCCCACAGAGATTTTTTTATAGAATAAAGGTGAAAAACGAACACGCAGTCCACCTGATGGTAAGAGGATGCTGTGGTCTAGTCATCTACATAAATCCTCAATAAAGATACAAAATACAGATGCGTTGTCACCCCTGAGCGCTATAAGATTGTATGCCCCGTTTCTAGTAAAAATGGGTCTTCGGTTATCTATACTTACTATACTCACATCTGCATAAAGCTGCTATTTTACAATGGTATGCCGCCACTATACGGACATAAATAATAAATAATATTGTAATAAATAATGGAAATATTTTTTAATACCATGATAATCGCTAAAAACAATATCAAGAAAAACCTGAGTTAACTAAAGTCGTTTCTAAATAAGATTTCCTTTTATGTTTAACGGACTAATCGTGTCTGTGTAATAGTACTATTTTAAGTTAATACCGTTTGACGTTACTTATTTATTTTTAACTAAATCAGACAAAAACCATCAAACGTTTGGTTTATTTAGGGTCGGTCACAAAAAATGAGACACCCCAATCGGTAGAACTGTGTGTATGTGACATGAAACTGTCGCATAGTTTAAGAAAGTTATCTATAGACAGCTGGAATTGATTCAAACCTAAACAATTTCAGTATTTTTAAGGAAAAGTTTATTTTTAGTAAATGTTTGTAAATAGAGGTTATTAGGGATTGACAGAACCAAATTGCACAACAGATTCAAAATATTATAATTGTCCTAAATGTGTAAATATTACAGGAATTCAAGAAGAATATTATAAAAAAATTTAAACTAAGAAATTTACGAATATTCACTACGCTATACGCCAGTATATATTCCTAATAGTTTGTCTCCTTGAATATGGTCTATGGTGTGATGGGCCAGATTAAACCTTAACCGAAAACCAGCATGTATGCGTAATATGGATGTAAAGGAGGCGAGAGAGGTGTGTCAGAATCGAGCCTAAGTCGTCCGTAGTCTCTGCCTACTTCTCTGGGTCACACACACACTCGCACACACACGCACGCACGCACGCACGCACGCACACACACACGCACGCACGCACGCACGCACGCACGCACGCATGCACTCACGCACGCTCGCATGCACGCACGCACGCACGCACGCACGCACGCACGCACGCACGCATGCTCGCACTCACGCTCGCACGCACGCACGCACGCACGCACGCAGGCTCGCACAAACGCACGCACGCACGCATGCTCGCACTCCTGCTCGCACGCACGCACGCACGCATGCACGCACGCACGCAGGCACGCACGCACGTACGCTCGCACGCACGCACGCACGCACGCACGCACGCACGCACGCACGCACGCACACACACACACACACACACACACAGAGAGAGAGAGAGAGAGAGAGAGAGAGAGACATACACACACACACACTCTCTCTCACACACACACATATTACTAATAACTAAGGAACTAAAAAACTTCGGTCACAAACCCGCGTTTCCTCCGAAGTATAGTACCACTCTTGAACCTAGGCCTAGGGTAATATTTACTATAGTTGTCACGCTTTTCCCGCCAAGCTTTGCATCTATAGTAAATATTCTTTCATCATCCTGTTTCATTGCCCTCTGCCATCTCTTACGACACCCACGGGACGATATGGGGTAGTGGATATTCTCACACCGTCACTACACGTTAAGTATTTCTACTTAACTGTTTCAATCTAATAAAGAAAAAGAGTGTTTCAGTGAAAATATTATCAAATTATTTAGTTGAGTAATTTTTTTTAGTTGAGACAAAATTTTATTCTTTGTAGATGTAAGTTTTTTTAAATTGAATTTCTAAACCTTACGCAACATAGCTTTACAGGATTGAACTAAAGTTTCCTTCTAAATGTCTGTTGCTATAATATGAACAAGTCCAATAATTAAAATTGTTAATTAAAAAAACCGACTACGTAAAAAAGTTTACAGAAAAAAAAAACATTTACATAACTACGACGAATCTGAGGACACCCAAATGTTAAAGACGATCAAGCCGCTTAGACTACAGAGCGTGCCACAGAAATATGCATACACTCGCAAAACATTCCCCTTCTTCTGGGGCGGTCGGTTACAATAGCACAAAGCATACATTGTGCTATTGTTGCATACTAGTCGCACGTATAACATTGCGTATAATTGCGAACAAAAAGTTCATTTGTGTGAAGCAACAAATAATTTAAGTACCTACTCGTATTAATATAGCTGTTTAGTTTCCTCTATAGATATTTGATTCGCAGAAGTGTAGTGATGAATTATTATAATATCATGTTTTATTGATTTCTATTATTTACGCGAACACTACTTATTTTTTTTATAATTAGTGTTCACGTCAATATTTGATTTAAAATATTTTTTAAGGATTTAATCACGTTTAATTATTTTTATATTCCTGAAGTTTCGGGTTTTCGATTCGACCCGCGACTACTAACTGTGCTATAAACCCGTCAAAATGCCATTCAAAACGCTTTAACCGATTTGAAAGCATTTTGATCACGTTCATGGCTGTATCAGTTGATATCCCTTTGCCCTTCCTCCATGGGAACATATCATA